TCAATGCATCTGTTAACAACTTCTGTTTGACCATCATATTGTGGGTGATAAGCAAAACTCCTACGAAGCTGTGTATGACATAACTGAAAGAGTTCTTGCCAAAATGTATTGAGAAAGAGTGGGTCTTTGTTAGAATGTACGACATATGAATGATGTGATCATTGCCAATTTGTACCCCAAAGGAAGTGATTGGCTTTGAAAGAATTTGTAGATCCTTCGCCAAGGCAGATGAAAGGAAATTATGGGAAGAACCACTATCAATTAAAATGAGTACCTTCCTTTGCTTCAACAATCCTTCCACTTTCATAGTCACACTCACTGGGTGTCCTAGAATAGCATGAAGAGATATTTCAGCATGAAAATCCTGGCCATCCTCTGAACTTCTCGCCTCTCAATTTTCAGTCACCACATTGGGGTTCTTCTGTGATTTCTATTAAAGTCAGAGTTCCATTTTTACAGCAATGGCCTGGGGCAAATTTATCTCCACAGCGAAAACAGAGACCTTTTTCATGTCGTTGCTGTTTCTTCACATCCAAAAAGAGTTCGTGTATTGTGTGCTGGGAAATGGAAGGGGCGATGTGTTGGAAGGAGTTGTAACTGCTCCTTTAAAGTCTCTAGTCTGCCACATAGAAGATGCAACAATCCGGTTTGAAGAAGAGGCTACACATGTCCTAAGTCCTCTAGAATATTGAAGTTTGGACTCATACTCTAAAGCTAAGCTTAATGCTTTGTAAACAGTCCTGGGCTTTTGTCTTCTTACATCAACCCTTAATTCTTCTCTAAGCCCATTCAAAAAAATCCCTAATAAGCAATGTTCAAGCCAATTGCTTACTCTCGCCAATCTCTTTACAAATTTGAGGCAATATTCTTGCACCATTCCCACCTGTTTGATTCCACATAAATATTCGTCAGGATTTTGAAATTCAGCTGGCCAAAATTCTCTTATAGTGTGCAAACCAAATCTTCCCAATAGATGATCGTCCTTTTAGCATTTGCCCGGGCGAAGAGGTCAAGTATGTCTCCTAAATACATGGCAGCAACATCAACTTTCATGGCTTCAAGTGTTTGATAATATCTGAAATATGTTTCTGCTTTAAGTATCCAGCCCCTTGGGTCTCCTCCCTCAAATTTAGGAAAATCCATCTACGTATGAGGTCTTTTTGAAGAATTTCGAAGCCACCAAGGTACATCACATTCATCTTCATCACCTGGCGTCTCTAGACGAATGTTTTTATTTCTGGAATTTTGACCAATATCCTCTAAAAGATACTGTAGCTGTGCTTTCAAAGCTACTAAGTCGGCAAAGATATCATCCATAGCATTTATTCGAGTAGAGAGTAGATTTAACTGTTGTACTATAGATTCTAAGAAATTTGGAGTTGTAGAAAAAGAGTCATTGGAGTTGTAGATCCTTTAGATAACCAGGCTCAAATACCAATTGGTTGGAACTAAATGTTTAATAGAAATAAAATTCAATCTATGCCTAAACTAAATGAGAATCTCATACAATTTAGATAAGACCAAGGAGGAGAATCTCCAATTAGTAGAAAATGAAATCTTCATATATCCTCATAAAAGAGTTTTACAAAAATTATATAGCATGCAACTGCAATCTATGGTTAAGTGAGATCAAAATAAACTAATCTCCTAATTAATTGACAACTCAGTATGTTAGGATAGGAATCTTAAACTACAACTATATGAAGTGGACACATAGAGAATAAAAGTTATTCAACATGTACAACTTCCTTATCAACAGAATCCATCTTTGGATTTGGGCTTGTGTGTTTCTTGCACCTTTTATATACTGATAAGGGCCTGCTATCAACAACCTGCTACCAAGGGTCCCTTTCAGATACTTGAGAATTCTATGTGCTGCTTCCATGTGTTTCTTCCTTGAATCACACATATATTGACTAGCTACACTCACCACAAAGGCTATATCAAGTCCAGTATGAGAAAGGTATAGTAGTCTTCCTACAAGTCTTTGGTACCTATCTATCAGCTGGTTCATCATTTCCTTCTTCAACTTCATTATCCGAAAGATCTTTCCCTTCATCTAGTTCATCCTTCTTAGGTGTCCTCTTTTTCTTCTTTACAACAATTGGTGTGTCTGTTGGCTTACAACCCAACATTCCAGTCTCTGTTAAAAGATCCTAGATGTGCTTCCTTTGGGACACATAGATCCCCTTCTTGGATCTAGCAACTTCCATTCCAAGGAAATATTTTAGTTTTCCAAGATCTTTAACTTCAAATTCTCTTTCAAGAGCTACTTTAATTCTAGTAGTTTCTTCTACATGGTCTCCTATAATGATTATATCATTGACATATATTTCTTACCCTCCTTATTTTTAACAAATATTGTGTGATCAAAGAGACATTGCATGTAGCCTTCAATCTTCAAAAGTCTAGAGAATCTATCAAACCATGTTCTTGGAGATTGCTTCAGGCCATAAAGTGACTTCTTCAGTCTGCAAACCTGTCCAACTCTCTATTCTTCAAATCCCAAGCGTAGTGATATATATACTTTCTCTTTCAATTCTTCATTCAAGAAAGCATTTTTAATGTCTAATTGATCGAGCTGCCAGTAAAGATTTGCTGTAACAGATAATAACACTCTAATGTTGTTTAGTTTTGCTATAAGAGCAAACGTTCTTTATAACCTAAACAATAAGTTTGAGTAAATCCCCTTGCAACCAATCTAGCTTTAAGTTTGTCAAGATTACCATTTTTATCATACTTAGGGGTAAACACCCACTTGCATCCAACCACCTTCTTCCCCTTAGGAAGATCCACAGCTTCCCACATGCCATTCTCCTATAAGGCTTTCATTTCTTCCATGACTGCACTTTTCCATTCAAGTATCTTTAGTGCTTCATGTACATTACTGGGAACCTTCACCCCGTCAAGGTTAGTAATAAATGTGTAATACCGTGGAGAAAGGGCATCATAACACACATACTTTATAGGATGTTGGGTGCAAGATCTAGGTTGCTTTCTCATAGCAATTGCAAATCTAGATCATTCATGTGTGTCTCTTCCTCAACAGCCTCCTCATCAAGTTCCACATGGTTAGGTTCAGGAACTTCCACTAGGTTGGACTCTGGAAGTGCTATGGGCATGATAGTACTATTATCATATTTCCTCTTCCATTCATAAACCAGTATAAAGTCTTTGCTTCTACCTACTAAGACAAGAGGTGTTTTGGTTTCAGGTAGCACAACAAGTTCAAGAAATCTCCCCTCACTTTCCAAAAACTGATATTCACCACGTCACTCCCCCTGAATTGAAGATTTTGGAAAGAACGGCTCATGGTCAACAAACGTGACATCATGGCTGGTGTAGATTCATTTAGTAGTGGGGTCATAACACCGATACCCCTTTTGTGAGGGAGAATAGCCCAAGAAGACACACTTGACCGCACGGGGTTCAAGTTTGGAGGGATGTGAAGTATGAACAAAAGATGTGTAGCCAACAACTTTAAGAGGAATTGAAGATGTGAAGTGCATTAGGTTAAGAGATTCTTTGAGTTTGTCAAGTGGAGTGGAGAAAGAGAGAACACGACTTGATCTCAAGAATCATAGCATTGATAAGCCAAGAAGAGACTAGTAAATTATCCTTGTGCCACTGTGCGAAGGCCTACAACTCTATCTCGCCAGGTACTTTTGCAACTTCAGTGAGGAAATTCATCTTGCCTCTACCACCAATTGCTAACTTGATAGCTTGTGTCCATTCTCGATAGTTTGACCCATTTCATTTGTCAGTGACGATCAGTACCAAAGACCCTTTGAAGCCAATAATCAACCTGTGGGGACCGTCGGCTTTACTCAAGTCTCTCAATGAGGAGCCCACGGCCTTAGACATCGGGTTTGTTGATGTACCCAAAGACTGCGGAGAACTCAACTCCTCTAAAGTACCTTCCTTGTCAAAGTCGCCGCCGAAGATATGAAAGGTATCCGGCTCTAATACCATGTGGTTTAGAACGCTGTATATTATTCACTAAGTCGAGAAAATATATAACTTAGGAATTGATAGAATCCCACAATAAGGCCGAGGATATCAGAGGAAACATAAAAAACAATAATCCTAATATCTTTGACTATTCTACCTGATATTCTCTCGTAAATGATACTAAATATTTACAATGATTAAAATTCTATCCACACTTAACTATCATGTCATTACTTGTCAAGACATCTCACTTTCTTCTAGTGCGGTTAGTCAATTATTAAAATCTCTATGCAACAGTTCTTGGGATATCATAATTCCCATCCTTAAATGCATCAAAGGAGCTTTAAGAATCAAAAGTTGGAAGCATAAATCGAATGAAATTGGTTTATAATAATCAAGCAACAATGAAAATTTCTACCAATCCCAGAATTCAACGAGGACCAAAAAAATCGAAGTCAATTATCACTTTATAAGAGAGATGATTCAATTTGGGAGTATTGCTGCCAAGTTTCTCAATTCTAATGACTAACTCGAAGACATATTAATTAAGCCTCTCAAGGGTCATTGAATCAACTATATATAGACAAGTTTTCTGCACATGATTTACATGCCCAAGCTTTACAATAATGTACATAACAAAATCTGAATTCTTAATCTACATACTAGCATCTAGATTCGTTGTAAAATTTTTGTATTGCATTGCACTACCTATTGTTCCAATTTTTATTCTTTGCAAATAAAACAACAGTAAGAGTACATATGCCTTTACATATTCGACCATCTATTTTCTCTCCAGTTTTAAGTTATACTTTCTATATTATCTGATTATTCCATCATCATTTCATCAAGCTTAAAATCATTGCTTTGTATTCAATAAAAAAATATGAATGGTACAATGTGCCTCCAGGAGTCATAGAAAAGGAGAGGGGGCAGCAGTTTTCCCACAGAAATAGAATAGAAAGGAATTTCCTCATAAAATAAGTATTGTAAATATACCAAACCTCAAAGGACATAAATATGTACTTTACTTCATAAATGGGCACCAATACCTTAATAACATCATCAGAAACAATCCCAGAAAACTGACTGGAATCATCAGTTCCTCCAGCACCAAGCATACCACGGGATAGCCAGTTCAACCACCCCTGTGATCTGCCCGAGTTGCGTTCATCATTGGATGACTTTTCTGCAGGAATATCAATGCCACTTGCGCCTACGTCAGGTTTAGAACGCCTTGAAAAGAATTCCTGTGAGCAAACATGCATGACAAACTTTAAGAACCAGAGTTTACCATGCTCAAAAGCAGCACTGTAATAGAGTAAAATTTACCCACATAAGCCAGTCAAATGAAGAGCATATATGCTGATAAAATGTCCCATAAGATGATCATTAACCAAGTACCTGCATCTCATATTCTGCACCAGCCCGATAATTCAAAATGTCATCTACATCTGATTCTTTCTCCATTTGCTCCAGCTCTTGAAGAACCCCATCATCAACTGGCTAGTAAAAACAAATTTAAAAAATACAACCTTTGTAATTAAAAAAATAAGAAGAAATTATCACTCTCAATAATAAAAATAAAACATCAGCACAATCAAATTTCTTATAGAATCACGTTTCAAATAATAAACAAGATTATATGAAATTACAATCCAAAACACACAAACCCTAAAAGATCCTTAATGAAACAACAACTCGAGAGAATTTTATGATACATAGATAGAAATGCATAAATGCATATGTCTGTTGAACAATCACCTGTTCTTGTTGAAGAAAATCCAACTTGGTCTTGTACAAGTCAATGTACCTCCGACGGTAATTTCTATATTATGAAACAAGAATACTATTAAACAATAGAAGGTTCATGAATGTAAAATAAGACTTCACAAGGCACAAAAGAGGTCATATTTAGTAAAGGTTTTACATTCACTACAGCAAGGGTGCATCTTATTTTAGCTTTTAATTTCCTTCCAACAACAAACATGCTTTAATCTTTAATTTCCCCAGGGTATTAGAGCTAAACTATTACCTACCTTGAATACCAAAAGTATCTTCTAAAGAAAGTTGGATTTTTTAAAACCCACTAACAAATTTGTGGCCTAAAATCATCAACACCATCAAGAGAAAAGCTATTGGAGCTACAAAGGTTGGCATTTCAGAATTACAATGGCTATGGTGCGGGGCACCACATGCTGCAATAGTGAGTTTGACAGTTAGGTTAAATCAAGTGTTAAAGACTAATGAGCTTGATCGTGTGCCATATGTACTACCTTTCAGAGGTTAATTGAAATTCCTGGGAAAGGATTTGTACACTTTTAAACAACCTAAGGATAAAGCAGGTAAGATTTTGTTAGAAAGGGAGATTGTTAGTATTTGCGATCTAAGTTAACAGTGCGTAGGAAGGAGGCTGTTCCAGGGCACAAGACAGGACTGAAAATTTAATAAGATATCGTTATCTCATTCAGTGTTGCTGATATAGAGTTCTGATGAGGTAAAAATGGTAGACTAAACCTACAGTTAGTTTTTGGTTTTCTTGTCAAGGAAGTTTCAATCAAAGCTCGTGTACAAACTAAGAAAAGACAAGGAGTTGAGATTTAAAAAGTTGGATATTTAAGACTTCATCACAAAAGTTGTGTTGTTGCGTGACATGGTGATCAACCCAAGTATTGAAGACTGTTACACTAGAGAAAATTCCTTCAATTATAGTAGGTATTGTAATCATATGTCACTTGATTATGGTGTAAGCATAATCACAGTGATTAGGTCATTAATGAGTCATTATGATGAAGCCTCATACTCAGTGTCTAAATTGCCTTGCTGAGATAAATACAATCAAGCATTTCAATCACTCCTCTCAACATTGTATGAACTATGAACTAAGAGAAACCAAAGGAAACTCGAGACAAATAGAATGAAGACCACGGGAGCCATCTCATTGAACCGATGATGAGCACAAAAACAGCAGCTCACAAAAGGTAGGTGGTGCTGCCCAATGAAGCTAGGTCATTAAAATTCAAGAAGATTTTAGTCAACAGAAGACAATGACAAGCGGTGTAATGTCAAAGTCTTGGGTCGCAGTTGAGTGTGGGACCTGTGAATCATGTCAAAGTTTGGATATATCTTGATTTTCAGAAGCAATTCAGTCTAGAAAATAATGCGGCAGCATCATAAATTGTTCATGTGTAACTCGGATTGAAATTTATGGAAAGACCAAAACCTCAATTTTCAGCATCATACATCATTTATAAAAAGAATGAACTTTCCAAGGACTTACAATCGCTCCCCAAGGTATCTCCATGAAGTTTTCTTTAATTTCTTGCGAACATCTGAGAGGACAGATTCCTGTGCATAGCGCCACCATAATAATGGCCAGCCCTGAAGTTTCTTTGACAAAGGGCTGTGCCATGGCCGATAACTACCATACCTACATGTAATATAAAGTACGTTTTATGGGAAAAATTGCATTAGAAGAGAACAAAATATTAGATAAGTCAAGATACAATAATAATAGAAATTACTGTGCTTATCATGATCAAAAATAATATAACATATTCCCACACAAACAAGATATGGAAACATCAGTTTACATTACTCCGCTTGTTAAGGCAGATGTACCCATTTCCTTGTAGTAAAATGCAATTTATAACTTATCAGACTGCTATCTATTCGATAGTAGTGTGCATATAAAGACATCAGTCACAATGCAACAGTTACAGCACTAGACATACCTTTCTCTTAATCGACAAGTGCATACATAATCCCACACAAGAAACATCTGTTGCAGCTGAGCCTCATCCAAAGAGACAACCTGATAAGTATAAATATATTATCAGGATATAAATCAATGTAGGAGAGCAAAGCACACAATCAGAATTGACAAATGCCATCAGAAAGTGTACAAACCAAACCAGTCAATTCAGCAGTAACAGAATACTGAGGAGCACTGTCATCAAGCTTTTCAGATCTGTTAGCCTAGAGGGGGAAAAAATCAATTAAGATGAAAAAACTATCAGTTTCAATTGCAATTAGTTATCAGGTATTTATCCAGTAAAATGATAACTCATACTCAAAATTAGTAAAGCTAAAACAGTAAGGGCAACCGAATGAACCTATACAGCTAAAAGGTCTACAAATTTCCATTTCTTTTTTCACAAAAGGGAAAAAATAAAGAAGATTGTAAGTAAATGAAAATTGAACAGCGCAAAAGGACAAAAAATCCTGAAGCGAGAAAAGCAAAAAAAAAAATTACCTCCAATGAGCCAATGCTTTTAGTAATAAATTTTGGTTTTAAAAAAAAAAAGTTTATTGAGAAGAGATAACATTGTAAAAAACAGAGGACAGAACATCCGCCTAACTCAAAAGAAAGTAAGAGGAAAGACTTTTTAGAACAAAAGAGCTTCCAATTCCTTTGAAAATAAAAAATGGACACACCCCTGAAAAACAATTCACATCAATCCACAAGAAAGTCATCAAAGTAAGCCTTCCCCAAAGTACATGAGTAGGTAGAAACTAGCCCAAAACAACTATATTCAAATACCATCAATGAATTAAATATATAATTTAGATCACTTTCCAAGGAATTTGGGACATGCTTGTCATTATAATTGACTGTCCAAGAGAATTGATTAAAATACTTGAATTATCCACTCATGCGGTTCTGTATGGTAAAGCACAATTACTCCATTTTCTTCATTCACAATTTCAATATACCTTAATTGTCATACCCTCTTCATTTACAAGCCTCACACCTTACATAGCTGTTGGCTTATTAACGTTCATAACTGCCTCGGCTTCCTATCTAATCCATTCAGCCACCTAACACAATGCCCCTAACCACTGCCAGGAAGAAGCCAGACTTACTGCCACGTACTCAAATTCCATGATCCCATTACAAAACTACTTAAGACCTTCTAAATCCTTTAATGACCACCATTCCTGAAAGGTTTTGGTAGACCCTTTGCTCACATTGATAATAGGGGAAAATTAGATCTTGGTGCAATGAAGTGTTATTTTCTTGGGTGTTCCCTGATTCAATGGGTATTGTTGCTACTCATCTGCCCTGAGATTTTTTTTTTTTTTTTTGTCACAATGAAGGCAATAATTTACGAGAACCAGAGGTACATCCCAAAATACCCATCCAAGGGGAGAGTATGGACAATGAACGGATATTTCTCGGGAAAGCAGAATGACTAACAGCTCTCATGCACTTGTAAACCGGCACATCTAATCACTACCACTGAACCTACCCAAACAGCTTTGAATCTAACCATGTCAACTCACAGTACTGCAACCAGCCCAGAAATGTGTGAAAAGAATCCAGAACAGTGCCTAAGAATAAGAATGTTTGCAAGATACAACTACAGACCAGTCTAGTCTACAAGATATAGAAGTTACAAGTAAGACCGAGGACAAAAGATATAATGACTGATATGGAAAACATGATTTTCAATAAAGATGTTTATACCGAAAACATGAAGGTTACATCACACGGTGCCAATATGGACTTGTAACTTTGGCCTTCAGATCTAATATTGCTTTGTGACATGGAATTCCCCACATTGCCCAAAGCCACCAAGTCCACTGTCTCATGAAATATACTGGAATAAAACTCTAGTCCTCTGATTTCTATAGTTTTATTCACTTGGCCAACTCTGCCCCTTCCACTTGACAACCTGCAAGGTTGAAGAATGACCAAATCAAATTACAGCTGACACATGCACGAACATCTCAGACATATTGTGCTCTACGTTCAAACAAATTTTAGTCAAACCACGGTTATAGTCTACATTCATTCATTCATTCATATTCTTTCACATGGTAGAGATAAAACTTGAACTAGGAAAAGAACCATTCTAACAAAATACATTAAAAATATTTGCATTTCAAACTCCAAAGGAGATGAAGTGCTTCATAATAGAGCTTTGACCTACCTAAGTGTCTGTTTGGCTCTATCTTCTCTATTTATTTTCAGCCTACCAGCCAACTTCTTTTGCAAAATATACAATATTCTCTTATCAATGCAGAAAAAAACTAGCATATTTTCAGGTTGTCTAAGTAACTTCAGCAAAGATAATACTACCACCAGCAACCATCATCCTCTCTAAGATTCTTCTAAAATACAAGTTGATATTCAATTACAATTACAACCAAGATGTAAGCGAGAACACTACCCAGTGAGGAGGTGTTGCTTCGTTATGGTCAAACTGGAAAACTTTAAACCCATCAAAATATTGCCCTGTAAGATTGTAGTAAGGGTAGGCAAACATTCAGGATAAATTCTTGACATGAAAATCCTTAGTAATAGTAGATTTTAATGCATCATAGAGAACCCAAGGTAAGTTGAAGGAAAAAAATGATGACAGAAAAGATAAACTTACTTGATCATTCTGCATATCACTATGTAAAACATGGAAGTTTCTTATGGCCACTTGGATGCTGTCAAGGATCTAGAAGAAAAATAAAATAGTACACATAATGCTGTATTATAATTTGCAGAACAAGATAAGGCACAAACAAATGATGGATGAAGGAAAGTAAACTAAGTTTGTAATATAGTGATTGTCTTCGGGTGTATAAAGAACCCATATTTACTGTATATCACAAGCAAAACAAAACAACAATCTTATCCAAAGCTAAACAAGTTCATTTTTACTATTAATGAGGAACAAAATTAGATTGAGACCAAAAAGTATCATCCTCAGCAGCGATGACATTGATATAAGGACAAGGAAATCATACCTTTGCAGTGATGTAAGAAATAAATGATTGACCAGCATGACTACCTGCAATTGTGGAACCACCATTCCCTCAGAATCATTGAAAAGACCTTTAATTAATCCCCTATTGTTTTAAAGGAGTATCCATTTTAAATATTCTGGGTGAATTGACAGCGTTATTGCAATTTTAAGGCTCTTTTGCTCTATGTTTCTCTTATTCTGTATAATTTGTATAATACTGTATCCCTTTAAATGTCTGTTTACTCATCAACAAAAGGTGACATATTTGAAATACAGTTTCAAACTTTTTGAAGTTTCAAGCTAAAAACAATTCAGTCAGAGAAAAGCCTACGTTAGCCAATGAAATATCATACTTTTTCTATACAAAACAAAAGTTGAGGAATAGCATTACTAAGACTATGTCTTGTAAGAGGGTTTTAGGACTTAAGGCCCTGACAATTGCTTCCAGAACAAATTGCAAAATGACCAATTAAAGAACAGAAGTAAAACTTAATATATTGCTTCTAGTTATGAGCACAACTCCGTAATACATCTAGGTGCATAATAATACAAAAGACTATGGAAACTAAAAGCGTTTGAGTTCCAGTGCAAAATCTTATTTTCATTGATAGAAAATGCCAATACATATAGCCTTGGGAGGATTAATTCTCGAAAAAGACAATAACCTAATTTCCTCCTAAAATCATAATAGACAAGATATGATGAGATATCAAAATAAATCTAAAAGATACATCAAAGATAATAAAAATAAAGAAGAAACTAGGTTAATGGGGTGATGGGCTTATAAGAGCTAAGCCCATTTCCAATGCTCCCCTTCAAGCTGGAAATAGATATTGACCATACCCAACTTGCCAGTGAGCCCTTCAAACTTACTCAGAGGTACAGAATCAGCTGCTTTTCAGCATTTCAAAATAGTACTTTGTTCAATGACTCTCATGTTTCTTCTGCAGGATGTCTTCTCTTATTTTCTAATTTCATTATTCCTTAATAAATTTTCTCTTCCTATCGAGACAAGAAAAAAAAAATTGACTTACTGCATACACGCCTGGACAGTTTTCCCAACTCAGCCGCTGCAAGTTTGGCCTTTTTTGCCGCAAACTCTCTCTTTTCAACAGCATACTCATTCCACTAAAACAGAGGAAACTCAAATTGCAAATAAAAAGTATAGCAATGTACTTGATAAAAAGAGCTGTCTCAAATGGTATGCCTGAGTAAGTGGGCTTTCTTTTTAAATTCTCTCAAAAGGTTAAAAGTTTTTAACACGAGAATCATACAAGAAAAAATCCCAGATGAGGAAAAGCATGTGGAGAAAATAGAACATAAATCCAGGAGAATCAAGGTTAGAGACTCAGGTAGCAGTAGATCCAAGAAGTACCTCTTGATCACCTCGTTGGGATGCAGAAATGAAGACATCCTCTAAAACTATTATAATGGGATCCCAACCAAGCTTTTTCCATGGAATTTTTATGCTTAACCTCCCAACTCGACCTAGAAATAATTTTCAATTTTTATTAGAAAAGAGAAAATACGAGCTCCCATGCACAGGCTGCCAGCATGCATCTATTGGAGAACCATTCATTAGAAAAGAATGATCCAGTATTATTGAGAATGGAAGAATTTACTTTAGTCACACGTTTAAGGACACAGTCGCAGTACCTTGCTTCAGAGCAAATGGCAGTTGGAGATAATCAAACGCTTCTAGTATCAGCTCCACGTTCTCCAGTAATACTTCCTCTTTGTGACAATACATAATTAACTCCAGCATCAGTTCAAACCACCCTCCATTAAAAGTGCTAATATTCACACACACACACAGAGGAAGAAGCCATCATGCTTAAGATTACTGGACCATATGTTTAGAAGCTGAAAGACACAGAATATGGCAAACTCTATAGATTAAATGTGGAATTAAACCCTCCCACGCGCTAGGAAACACGAGTCTGCTGGGTACAGAAGAAACTGCGGACCTCTTAAGAAATCAAAAAGTGAACTGAGCATCAAACGAATATCTGTGAACGTGCCAAAAACCACAGTCGTGTTTAAAACTATCAAAGTCGTAAGGGAGTACCACTGCAACAAAATTATCCCCAACACCAATAATTGCCAGCTCAGTGCATCCAAATAGTGCGTTCTCATATGGGTGCAACTTCACACTCAGACATCAATAAAGATTCGGTGCTTAGTTATACGACAAATCAGCTTCAAGAAGATTATTAACAGCTCAAGGAAAAGAAAATAACAACCAAAGGAGCACTACAAAATCTAACGTACCATTCCAAAGTGTGATCTTAAGCTGCTCTTTCTGGATATCTTTGACATATCGGCCTAGGTAACCGAGCAGCACCTGACGAACCAATCCTTCAAACATTACTGGACTATTGTCTTCACAACATCAGAACTTCTTAGTATGACTGAAATAAACCGTAGCCATGTCAGCAAAAATTAAGGTAACTAAACACTATAACATACAAATATATATAAAAAAACCAGTCTCTCTCTCCAATGAATAAAACACAAGTCAAAGAGTCTTCATTTCCCCTGCAAAATTTACAGTAACTAAACCCAACAATATTCAGCGAAGGCACAGATACCCGTAATAGGGTAAAAAATTACGCTTTAACATCTCCCACTGAGTGCTCGAGGATTCATAGGACACTGGGGTTGTCCAATTCGTGCCTCCCCAATCACCCGGAAGGTTTCATGCCGTTCAGCCAGTGGTCATACTACAACGGAGAAGGGAACAGACAAGACTGTAGCGTGTACAAGACATACCTCGACATTTGGATGGCTGGCTTCTCCCTGTCTTGCGACTCTGCGCGCTGCAACTACAACTACGCTGCAAATGCCAGAAGGCGTCACAGACTTTTTTTTTTTTTTTCCCGGTCGTAAGGAAGGCGTGCAGAGTTGTTTGCGCAAGAAATGCCAATTCACTTAACCCCTTTATTGATCAAATTGCAAATTGGTTTCAACCAGCCCGGTTTGCGGAGAACCCGCCATATTTTTACTGTACTTTCATGCTTTAAGATTTATTGGGTTTTGATTTTTGACCCAATAGAGATGGCGAAAATGGAAAAGAAAGAAGGAGCCTAGAAGTCAAAGCAAGCAAGCAACCGCCAGCCATGACATGTTTTATTATTTATTCAAAAAAGTCCTGTGAATCACCAATAATATCAATTATCGATCAAATATATATATATATATATATATAAATAGTAGGCTGTGGTATTTGTAAATTATAAATATAAATTGCAAATGGCACAAACATGTTTGGTAAAAAAATAAGTACACTTTTTTTTAAGTTGTGTATAAGTGTCCTCTTGTTGGATTCATGTGAAATATAAAAATTGTGGGGAAAAAAAACAAGCATACATATACATGGGAGGATTCATGTCAAACCATTTAAGTTTTTTTTTTCATATATATATATATATATATAAAGAAGCCAATTAAGTTTTAAACAATAGGCGTGTGGAATGAAAAAAATTACTATAAGACTACCTAACTCTAAACAAATAAAACAATGAAAGTTCTAACCAAAAAAACATGTACTGTGAAATTTTCCCAACCTATTAGAAGGCAAGTTGGTTCAACCCACAACCGGCCAACTCATAATTGACAAATTAGCCCATATTCTCAACTATTAAAAGTAGAGACTTTCCAACCAAATTGGGACATGCATTCAAATTGAGATTTAAAATTCTAACTATTTCATTAAGTACATAGAATATAATTTAGTATTTTAGTGCAAGAGTCATCTAGGTAAACATTTCCTCTGTGATTCTCCATCTTCTATCAAATTTGAAAGATCATTTACATCTCCATCCAATCATTCTTTTACAAAATCATGTTTATCTTGCAAATTAGCATAGAGAATTCAAGCGTTTCCTTTAGTGGTGTCTTAGAGCCAGAAGATTGATCCCATTCCTCTATCTCAAATGTTCGTCCAGGGCTTTTACTTCTGCATCTTGTAGCACAGTAAAACCAAACTGTACTTAAAGTACAGCCACACATGAGAGAAAAGCAGAGGAACTGCAATGCTGATGAAAATCCAGTAGATGACCTCAGATAATAATAATAATAATCTGGATTGAGCAGCCTGTAGGATGCTTAATGAACTATTGTCACAGCCTTAGAGCTCCTTTATTCTTAAACCGCGCCGGCCTTAGTGTGATTGACTCTTGCAAAATGTGTGATAACTCCAAGCTCCGACTATGACTGTTTTTTTTTTATAACCTCCAGCTACAACTTTAAATAATATAATATATTTATATTAAATAATAAATACTCCCTTTGTTTAAAAATATAATGTATTTTTTAAGGAGTTAGATGTTAAAAAATATAAGGCATTTTTAGTCTTTCAAAATATAATCATTGTCTTTTTTTCAAAAGTGCTTCTATTAATAAATAACTTTATATTTATTGTATGATGTTTAATAGAGGTAAATATATAACAATAAAATTAGTTTGAAAGTATGTAACTACTTTATTAAAGAATAAAATTTAATTAAAAATGCCTTACATTTTTTAACGAAAAGAGTATTAAATAAATAGTGTGTGTATTTATTTTTTACATGCATTAAATTATTAATATTAATATAATTTAAATTGACAAAATTAATCAGGTATAAGTTAAATAGTGTATTTTACTTTTTAAATAACATAGAAAAAATTTAATAATATATACAACTTCAACAATATTTTAATTTTCAAAAACAATATCTTCTATGATAATTTATACATATAAAATTCTAATTAAATTATTCAAACATCTTTAATTCTTCAAAATCAATTTAAAAAACAATATTCAAATACAATCACATTATAATATAATCAATTATAATTGAAATTAATCATATTAAAAAAAATTTATAATCAACTTAACTCAACTGAAAACCAAACAGGTTGTAGTATGAGTAGACGTGGAAAATTGATATAGATTGACCACAAATACATAATCCTTAAGCTTGACCCAATTTTAAAGCAGCACGCAAATAAATTGAAACAACCTCCAATTCTTTAGGTGGGGAAAAACACTCTCGATCTCAAATTAACTGTTGTTATAACAAATTTAATTACATCCAAGTGACATTGCTCAATTAACTCAGTTACAACAAAATTAACAAATCTAACAGTTTTGAACTAAAAAAAAATAATAGCAATAACTAGCTACTGACTACTTTTTTCCCGTAAATGAAATGAACCATGAGCAGGTATTCATGCAGGATGTTTAAAATTCCTTATGGAAACAGGGCAATCTCTTGTAGTAACAAACCTACCACAAGGGAGAGAAAGGCCCTAGAAAGAGGACATCTAAATGGAGCTCTCCTTTTCAAGTCTTATGGAGTTGACATAATTTGTGGGACAATGTGCAAAAATACCAGGAAGTGACAATCCTAGTACTCTTGCAAATACGCTGAACCACCTTTCCTTTTAGTCCGGTCCATAAATATAGCCCATTGCTAAGCTTCTTATTAACTCCCACACATCATTCAAATGTCTTGGCATGAAATATCTCATTCTAAAGAAATTTTTGTTTGGTTCCTCATTCACTCTCTTCAGAATTAGGTGCACCATCATAATTAAAAAAAGAGAGAGAAATAAATCAGTAAATTAAAGACTACAATAAAACATAAAATTTTGAAAGTACATTCTGTCTAAAAAAATAAATCAACTAAATAAATCATAGGTTAATGTCTAAACTTGTCAAAGGTGGGTTAATAAAATTTTTAGGTAGATCCAATGTACAAAAATTGCCAAATAATCCAATCTTAATAGAAATATGTAGACGTAGGTCCTATTGAAAATTGTATCTAACTTTTAAGCATACCAATGTATAATTAGTATGGTCAACAAACTCTTTGGAATGCAATTCTATATCCAAGAATCTATATAATATATAAAAACCCTATCTAGTCACATTATTCTGGAGTCATGAATATTGCAGCTTATTTCTTAAATTTCATGCAATACATAGGATTACACTAGTTCATCTCTTAAAATATAGATCTCAAATACATCTATTTATAACAAATCCAGTCAATATATCTTTTGCATACCAAGTTTATCTTAGAATATTTCATGAAACATGAATGAAATCAAGTCAACTGAACTACTGGTGAAGTTATTTCAAAAATCAACAAAATTAAGACTTAAACTAGGTAGCTTTCACTTCAAATAAAGTGAGAAAAAAAAGTATTCTAGGACTTTAGCATCATGGTAACTATTGAAAACCAAGGCAAAGATTATAAATGTGTGTTAAGAAAAGAAGAATGACATACAACAAACAACAAACTAAATTAGGAAATGGAGATAGATAGCAAATACCTATTTGTTCATTATACAAGCTATTGTAGTAAAGGCATGCTTCAAAATATTTGTACGAGAAGGTTTTATCATCATAAGGCAACCCGGGCACAAGATCATTACGGTAGACTACCCTAAAGTACTTTTGAATAGGATGTTGCAAATGAGTTTATGAAGCCTGGTCAGTGTGCCATGACCAACTGAGTTTATGAAGCAAAATAAATCTCAATTCTTTCAAGTAACACTATGATTAAAATCTTGCATGCATGAAGTCGAATTTATGAAGCCTGGTCAGTGTGCCATGACTAGTCGAGTTTGAGAATCTCTGAATGACTAAATATGATATTAAATAGTCTTCCAACAAAGAAGAAATGAGTTCCCCAAAATCATGATCGTCCCTTGGCTTTCTATCCATAGCACTGTGAGAAACTTCATCGTCAACGGTGTGATCATTCTCCCCAGGCTAGCCACGACTGCAAGATTATGCGGATTGGTTTCAATAAAGCAAAATAAATCTAGTTGTTAATGGCCTAACACAACCTTCCTCCTTTATTTAAGTTCGGGGCCGACTCTATAACATAGACAAAGTTCCTGTATAATGTATAATTGCAAAAAAATAAAAAATAATTTATAAATTTTTTTAATAATAGTATATAACTATAGTTGAAATTTTAACTGTTTAAATTTTTTTATATGATAAATTTGTTGGTAAAAGATAATCAAATCTAAACTATTTATTTTATTATTTAATGTACATGAGATGAGATGAGATGAGGAGAAGAAAAGGATCAGACCAATACTTGAGAGAGCCCTCGCTAGGGGGGTTATCAACGACAGTTTGACGATAATAGTGAGTGTCATAATTTCCCCTTATTTTCCCCGATCCTCACTCAAAAGCATACATTGCATTTACTATGTCTCCACATAGCCTCAAGTGATAATTACTTTCAAACTACTTTCAAAATAAATCTCACCCCCCAATAAAGTAATTACCTACTTTCAAACTAACCCTATCTTTACATATTTACCCCATTAAATACTCTACAATATAAAGTCATTATCAATAGGGGTACTTTTAAAAAAGGGCAATGATTACACCTTGAGAGACTGAAAATGCCTTACATTTTTTGACATTTAACTTCTAAAAAATACCTTACATTTTTTAATAGATGGAGTATTTGGCATGTGGAATAAGTTAAGTATGCAATTATAGATATAGGAATTCATATTATGTGATTGATGGTTGAGTTACATGAATATGTGGTATACATGCATCACATGATCATTGGTGAGAGTTCGCCTAGGGAAAGAAGTAGTTGATTAAACCCACATAGTATCAGCAATAATCATTAGAATTGAGAATTAGCCTTGGCATTGATCGTGAAAATTAGGAGATAGCCCTTGTCCTATGGTTGATTTGAGACTGCCCCACTTGTTCTATAAGAGACTCGAACCTAACTAGTTTTCACAAGTTCATGAAGAGGCTAGATTATAGATACGATACCCCATGGTTATTAGTATTAGGGAAAACCAAATTATACAATTGAGTAAGTTGACCTTAGCCAAGTAGCTCCTTACAAATAAAAGGCTGGGTTAGTCCGTGAAGGACATAGCCACATGATAGCTGAGAACCTATTGAAATTAATGCCAATTCAGTG